CGGTGCGTGCCTTGCCCCGCTCCGTCCGCGGCCCTCTACCCTTCCCGCTGCCCGGCCAGCCGCGCGCGCCGCCTCCGCAGCTTCCCACCTAGCTGCTCACCGCACCCCTCGTCCGCTCCCCGCGCGCCCCTGCATCCCCGTGTGCCTGATGCTGCGCTGCCGCGGGCCGCTCCTTGTTGCTGCTGCCTGCGCCCGTGCGCCGCGCGCGCCCGCAGCCTGTTGCTAGCTGCCACTGCTGCCCACCTCCACTCGCCGGTGGCTGCTGCTGCTCGCCTCCACTCGTCGGCGGCTGCGGCGCCTCGCCGCTACCCCGGTTGCCTCCTGTGTCGGGCGGCCGGCGCCCGTCGCCCGGGCTCGCCCCATCGGGCGCCCGTGCTTGTAACCCGTGTGCCCACCCCGCTAAGGCCTTCGTGCCACTGACTAGTGGGGTCCATCCCCTAGGACGGTTTAAAAAAAGGAATTAAATATATATAAATAAATAATTAATAATAAAAATTAATAACTAACTAATTAACTAATTAATTAACTTAATTAATTCTGATTAAATTAACTATTTAAGATTAATTAACCTAACTAACTACTGTTAATTAACTAACAGAGTATGACAAGTGGGACCCACGCGTAAGTTGGACTAAGTCAACGAGACTGTTGACTGCTGACTGGACCTGCCGACTATGCTGTTGACCCAGTCAATGGCCCCATCTGTCACTTTGACTTAGTCAATCCCTGTTGACTGCTGATGTCATTAATCCAATTTCGAATTAAATTAAAGGATTAATTAAATTCCAGAAATTAGTAAATCTTTAGAAAATCATATCTTTTAATCCGTAACTCGGATTAAATTATTTTCAACATGAAAGTTGCTCAGAACGACGAGATGAATCTGGATACGCAGCCCGTTCGCCCGCCACACACCCCTAACATATCAAACTCGCAACTTCCCCCTCCGGTTCATCTGTCCGAAAATGCGAAACACCGGGAATACTTTCCCGGATATTTTCCCCCTTCACCGGTACCACCTCGTACCGCGTTAGGGCACATCTAGCATCACGCTTTGTCATGTCATGCATTGTCATGCATTTATTTGTATTATATTTATTGTTTCTTCCCCCCTCTTCTCTCGCTAGACACCGAGACCGACGCCGCTACTACCCAGTATGACTACGGTGTTGACGACCCCTCTCTCTTGCCAGAGCAACCAGGCAAGCCCCCTCCCTTGATCACCAGATATCGCCTACTCTCCTCTATACTGCTTGCATTAGAGTAGTGTAGCATGTTATTGCTTTCCGTTAATCCTATCCTGATGCATAGCCTGTCCTTGCTACTACTGTTGTTACCTTTACCTGCAATCCTAATGCATAGTATAGGATGCTAGTTTATCATTAGTGGCCCTACATTCTTGTCCGTCTGCCATGCTATACTATCGGGTCGTGATCACTCGGGAGGTGATCACGGGTATATACTATATACTTTATACATGATACATGTGGTGACTAAAGTCGGGTCGGCTCGTGGAGCACCCGCGAGTGATTCACGGATTGGGGGCTGAAAGGACCTTTGTCCCAACGGCCCTCTGTGTGGATCTTTGTGGCGAAGCGACATGGCAGGTTGAGACCACCTAGGAGAGAGGTGGGCCTGGCCCTGGTCGGCGTTCGCGGTTATTTCAAGATAACATGTTTAACGAGATCTTGGTATTTGATCTGAGTCTGGCCACTGGCCTATATGCACTAACCATCTACGCGGGGACAGTTATGGGCACTCGACGTCGTGGTATTAGCCGAAGCCTTCGTGACGTCAGCGACTGAGCGGTGCGCGCCGGATTGGACTGGAATGCCTGCTAGGCTAGGTCTGCTTCCGGCCGCCCTCGCAACGTGTAGGTGTGCAATGGGAAATGGGCCCAGACCCCTGCGCCATAGGATTTAGACCGGCGTGCTGACCTCTCTATTGTGCCTAGGTAGGGCTGTGATGTGTTGATCTTTCGAAGTCGGGCATGACCCAGCAAAGTGTGTCCGGCCAAATGGGATCGAGCGTGTTGGGTTATGTGGTGCACCCCTGCAGGGAAGTTAATCTATTCGAATAGTCGTGATCTTCGGTAACAGGACGACTTGGAGTTGTACCTTGACCTTATGACAACTAGAACCGGATACTTAATAAAACACACCCTTCCAAGTGCCAAATACAACCGGTGATCGCTCTCTCACAGGGCGACGAGGGGAGGATCATCGGTTAGGATTATGCTACACGATGCTACTTGGTGAACTTACCATCTACTCTCTTCTCCTGCTGCAAGATGGAGGTGGCCAGAAGCGTAGTCTACGATAGGACTAGCTATCCCCCTCTTATTCCGGCATTCTGTAGTTCAGTCCACATATGATACCCTTAATCCATTTGATACCAATGCATACATATGTAGTGTAGCTCCTTGCTTGCGAGTACTTTGGATGAGTACTCACGGTTGCTTTGCTCCCTCTTTTCCCCCTTTCTATACCTGATTGCTGCGAACAGACGTTGGAGCCCAGGAGCCAGACGCCACCGTCGACGACTACTACTACTACTTGGGAGGTGCCTACTACTACGTGCAGCCCGCTGACGACGACCAGGAGTAGCTTAGGAGGATCCCAGGCAGGAGCCCTACGCCTCTTTTGATCTGTATCCCAGTTTGTGCTAGCCTTCTTAAAGGAAGACTTGTTTAACTTATGTCTGTACTCAGATATTGTTGCTTCCGCTGACTCGTCTATGATCGAGCTCTTGTATTCGAGCCTTCGAGGCCCCTGGCCTGTAATATGATGCTTGTATGACTTATTTTATTTGTAGAGTTGTGTTGTGATATCTTCCCGTGAGTCCCTGATCTTGACCGTACACGTTTGCGTGTATGATTAGTGTATGGTCAAATCGGGGGCGTCACATTGGGACAACCCTGCAGGGTATAAACTTTCGAGAGCCGTGCCCGTGGTTATGTGGTGGATGGGAATTTGTTAATATCTGATTGTAGAGAACTTGACACTTGACTTCATTAAAATGCATCAACCGCGTATGTAGCCATGATGGTCTCTTTTCGGTGGAGTCCGGGAAGTGAACATGGTTTTGGAGTTATGTTTATGCGTAAGTAGTTTCATGATCACTTCTTGATCGCTTCTTGCTTCACGATCGTTGTGTAGCTTCTCATCTTACTCTTATTTGCGTATGTTAGCCACCATATTTGCTTATCGCTTGCTGCAGCTCCACCTCACTACCTTATCCTACCCATAAGCTTAAATAGTCTTGATCTCGCGGGTGTGAGATTGCTGAGTCCTCGTGACTCACGGATACTTCCAAACAGTTACAGGTGTCGATGATACCAGTGCAGGTGATGCTACCGAACTCAAGTGGGAGCTCGATGAAGAGCTTGGTCGTTACTATGTGTCTTTTCCGGATGATCAGTAGTGGTGCCCAGTTGGGATGAATGGGGATCTAACATTTGGGGTTGTCTTCTTTTATTTTGGTTCCGTAGTCGAACCTTGATTATACTCTGGATGATGTATGTTTAACTTGTTATTTGTGTGAAGTGGCGATTGTAAGCCAACTCTTTATCCATTTCTTATTCAGTACATGGGATTGTGTGAAGATTACCCATCTTGTGACAAAACCACCATGCATTTATGCCTCTAAGTCATGCCTCGACACATGGGAGATATAGCCGAATCGTGGGAGTTACAATGGGAGAGTTGTTGGTGATGACGATGGCGATGATTTCCCTCTCCGGGAGGAAAGTTCCCCCAGCGGAATCGCTCCACCGGAGGGCAAAATTGCTCCTGCCCAAGTTTCACCTCGAGACGGCGGTGCTTCGTCCCGAAAGTCCTCTCCTCATTTTGTCTAGGTCAAAATGACTTATCTACTAGAAGATGGGCACCAGAGGTGGGCCGAGGAGGGCACAACCCACCAGGGCGCGCCTGGGCTCCCCGCGCGCCAAGGTGGGTTGTGCCCACCTGGTGGGCCCCCTCTGGTACTTATTTGCTCCAATATTTCTTATATATTCCATAAAAAATCTCCGTAAAGTTTCAACTCATTTGGAGTTGTGCAAAATAGGTAGCCTAACATAGTTTTTTCAGCTCCAGAATTCCAGCCGTCAGTATTCTCCCTCTTTGTGTGAACCTTGCATATCATGAGAGAAAAGGCATTAGAATTACTCCAAAAAGCATTATTATACATAAAATCAACATAAATAACAGTAGGAAAACATGATGCAAAATGGACGTATCAACCATTATAGGTCAGACTTTGCTGATGGGACCTCAGGCGGCGGCAGGAGGGAGGAGACGAGGAGAGGAGGCCTAGGGCCGGCAGCGCGATTGCCCTCGTGTTGCCTAGGGTTGCGACGGGGGGTGGGACAGGGGTGTCTCGCCACCACTACAAAATTCATACTAAGCAATACATCATACCAATTTTTCACTACATGCCATCAACCATACAACCACATTCTATCAATCACTACATGTTTGCACCATCCAAATCAGCATACAACTAAGCATGCAATTTTTTACAGTGCTAAACACAGAGCAACAGAGAGTAATAGAGACATGAGAGGAGGAAACAAAGAAGGCATACAGGAGAAGACGATAGGCAGGGGACTAGAGGAGCTCACCAGCAATGGCAAGGATGGCTCGAGAGACGGGGCGGGAGGAGCTCCTGCATGGCATACTGGAAGGGGCGGCGGGCGCGGAGGTGACGGTGATGGCACATGAGGAGACGGGGCGACTGGGCGCGGAGGTGTCGGGGGTGGCGGTGGCGTGCGGGACCTCCCACCGGTGGATCTAACGATACCAGGGTGAAGTCGCCGGCTGGCTCGAGGTGGCGTAGGGAACCCTAGCTCGAGGTGGCTTCCTGATTGGGGACGGGCGAGTGGGGGAACGAACACGATGCTCTTTTTTTACGCGGTACAGACGCTAGCGCTCATACACTCATCCTTATGAACACGAGCTATGTAGATCAAACATTTTGGGCCTCGCTTGTGTGTCCCAAGTGGCATTTTTGGCCTAAATACTTTGTCCAACAGGGTAGTACTGGTTGAAAACAAATCGTTTTGTTTTGAGGGGTTTGAAAGAAATCGCCAACTTTCGACGATTCTAAAATGCACCGCCATTCTGGGTTGATTGACGATTTTTGGGTAAGAAATGAGCATTTTTACAATTGTGATTTTCCATGCCGTAATTCTTCACTATCAAGTAAAATAACTGGCCCTCACCCAGACGCCGACACAGTAGCCTGCGGCCTCCCTCTCTCTCATCAACAGCTGCCACCTCTCTCTCCTGTCTACTAACTCATCTACAGCTGCCATCCATGATGGCATTATCTTTTACTCTTCCCCATACAGCAACTTTTATATAAACGCACACTCCCTCTTGTCTCTCTCCCCCACCCCCATTCCCACCTCACCCTGTTCGTGCTGCCTTCACTGCTCGCCCGCTCTGCACTCGCTCAGGTCAGTCTCAGTAACCCGTCCTTCACATCTCAATCCAACTCCGTGGCGCAAATGCTCAAATTTCCTTACGCTTTTTTTGGGTCTCCATGTTTTGCAATCTGAGCTTAGAGGCGCTCGATTTTGGAAAAATTAGCATACAGGCGCGTACATTGCTCCATTTGGATCTATCCTCCCTGTTCTTGGCCCAAGGAAGAACAGATCTTCGCGTTCTGTACTTCGTGGCTCTTGTTTTCAGCCGAAGCAACGAAATGCTGGGTAATTTTGCCCCCTGCTCTCGGATTCAGGAATGGGCAATTTATTGGTTTTCCCTGTTCTAGCCATTGTTTTAGCTCTGGAGCAATTTGTTCCATCCATGATGCTGAGATCTGCAGGACGTCAGAGGACTATTCAGTTCATGCTGAGTAGCAGTTTTTGCCGCCTTTTATTTTATCTTTGGTAGGTAGCACATGTTTTGTAATGCCGGTCAATTCTGCTAGATCGGGTCTGGAATGTTTTTTCCCCGCGTCATCTATATTTGTCCCTCTTGGTGATAGGAAATGCCCAGTAAATTAGCTCTTGATGAAAGATCTAATTGAACCACAAATCCTTTCAGATCGAGCAGCTGCATGATTCTTGAAATCTCACTAGTTCATAGTACTGTGAAACGCCTTGCAGTTCTCAGAAATTGCAGAAATCGGAAGAACAGCAAGCTACTGTTCCTGCATAGCCAGGAACCACAATTTAAAATCTCCTATTATTGGCCATTAAATTAAGTAGTTACCGCGTTTTTGTTGGTGTAGACTAGGTAATTCAGGTTCTTGTGAAATAGCGCGAAAAGAAAATTCAGTGCTTAATTCTGTCTTGTTCTTGCGTGACCTCAGGGATTTTGGGCAAAGCAGGTGACCTTCAGGATGAAGCTCAGAGCAGGCATTTTGCCCGTGGCCATGCTCGCCATTGCCGTGCTCTCCTCCCCAGCATTCGCGCAGAAGACGAAGAGCCCCCCTGCTCCGCCGGCGGCCGTCCTCCCGCCGTCCCCAGCGCCGGCGCCGGCGCCGCGCCACGTGGACCTCGCGGACCTCCTGAGCGTGGCCGGCCCGTTCCACACCTTCCTGGACTACCTCCAGAAGACCAACGTCCTGGAGACCTTTCAGAGCAAGGCGAACGACACCAAGGAGGGGATCACCATGTTCGTGCCCAAGGACTCGGCGTTCGCGGCGCTGAGGACGACGACGTTCGCCAACCTCACCAGCGACCAGCTCAAGTCGCTGATGCTGTACCACGCGCTGCCCAAGTACTACTCGCTGGCTGAGTTCAACAAGCTGAGCAGCCTCAACCCGGTGGCCACCTTCGCGGGGTCGCAGTACACGCTCAACCTCACCGACAACATGGGCAGCATCCGGATCAAGTCCATGTGGTCCAACCCCAAGATCAGCAGCAGCGTCTACTCCACCCGCCCGGTCGCCGTCTACGAGGTCGACAAGGTGCTGCTGCCGATGCAGATCTTCAAGAGCGACCCGCCGCTGGCCCCGGCGCCCGCGCCCGCCCCCGCCGACGCCAAGTCCTCTGATGACGCGCCTAGCCCGGCGTCGGGGAAGTCGGCGAGCGCGAAGGCCAAGGCGGGGTCCAAGAGCGCGTCGCACCGCGCCGGCGTCAGTGTGGCCAGTTACCTGGCGGTGGCTGTCTCCGGTGGCCTGATGATGCTTTTGTGAGCGAGAGACTAATGAGAGAGGTCGGTGGCGGGGTTCATCCGTGCTGCTTAATTTTTACTACATGGATTGTTGCTGAGTTCATTCTTTGGACATAGTAGGCGTTGTGCTAGGATTTGCATCATATATGCTTCTGTGGTTGGTCCTTGTTGATACTACTTGATATACTACTATTTTGTTTGTGCATGTATGCAGAGAGTATTTCTGTACTCATGGCTCTACAGCTAGTCCCTCCGTTCCCAAATATTTGTCTTTCTAGACATTTCAAATAGTTACAACATACGGATATATGTAGTCATATTTTAGAGTGTAGACTCATTTTTACTTCGTATGTAGTCATTTGTTAAAATTTCTAAAAGACAAATATTTGGAAACGGAGGGAGTAGTTGTCATGCACATTTTTTCTTTCGGACATAGGAGGATTAGCTGGAAGTTTTGCTAAAAGACATTTAGATGTGCCATAAGAGCAATTCCAACGCGACGATTCAAATGGGTCAGCTTGACCGTCCAACAGAAGGTTGATCCAAATGTGTCGACGTGAAAAAAAACAGCTTACAAAAAATAAACATAATTAAATATAAGTGTCCAGTCAATCGCCGGCCAAAGTTTACTTAAAGCTAATTAAACATTAATTAAAACATAAAAAAAAGTTTGCACCGCCCGCATGCTGCCCCAGACGTCATCCGCCTTGCCCTTGCCTTTGACGTCACCATCGCCGCCGGTGAGGTCGATGAAGACGGGAACAAAGCCAGCCCATCTGAACGCCGCCTGGTATGCTGCGAGGGCAGCCTCCTCCAGCGTCTGCTGGGGCAGCGACATTGCGGCTAGCCGCGCGCGCTCCTCCTCCTGGAGTCGGAGCGCCTTCGCATCGCGTTGGAGCATCGCCTCGTAGCGCATCTGCCGCTCGCCGTCGGCCTGCTCCTGGCGGAGCCAGTGCGCCTTCCAGCGCTCAAGGTGGGCCACCTCCTGCCTCGGCGTCGCGGCGAAGTGAACAGGAGGCGCGCTCACCCACTCGCGATACTGGCTCGTCCACGTGTAGGCCTCCTCCAGCCAAGTGGATGGAGGCGGGTAGCGCTTCCGCGTCGGCTCTGGCTCCAGCTCCGGCTTCAGCATGGGCTCGACGGGCGGCGACGGTGGCGGTGGCGGCACAAAGAGCGGGATGTGGACGGAGTCCCCCGCCACCGACAGGGCAAGGGCTTGCTCCAGCGCATCGCAGTGCGCGTCCTCCTCGAGACGGCTAGCCTCCAGCGCGTGCTGCGGGGCCTCCTAGAGGGCGGCTTGGTACTCCGCCTCCGCCTCCATTTCCTCTGGCTCTACCCGCGGGGACGGCGGTGGAAACACCGGCGGGACGGCGTCGACGCCTACATGCCGTTGCTCCTGGTGTTCGAGGGCAAACCAAGCCTCCCAGTTGGGAGAGTCGGCTGCGTACTCAGGCATCCGCTGCTGCTCCGGTGTGAGTTGTGCGTGGCGCCTACGCACCTCCTCGCCGTGCGCCCGCTCGGTCGGCGGAACAGCCGGCACCGGGATCCGGTGCGGATCCAGGTACCGGTGGCGCGGCAGCGTGACGTCAGGGGTAGGGCAGCGGCTGCCTGTACTCCCAGTGCTACCGCGCTTGGTGCACCGGGATGTGCAGGCGCCGGCGACCTGGGAGGAAACGCGCCGGCACCGGGGAGGAGGAGGAGGAGCACGGGAGGATGAGGCGCCGGGGGTGCCCTTGCCTTTACCCTTGTCGCTGCTGCTGCCACCAAAGAGGCTCATCGCTTGCTAGGATTTGCTATCGCTGGCGAGGAAGCAAAGGGAGTGGTGGTGGGTCACATGGGGACGGGAGTGGATGAGGCCGGCCCCCGCCGCACGCGTGCTAAAAAAAGGACGCTTTCACTGGTTGACTAGTGGGCCCGCTGTCGGTGGTCGTTACAAATAAGACGACGGGTGGTAGTTGGCTGGCCTACAGGTGGGGCCGTGACGGACGCCAAGGAGATGTGCGGCGCGTCCGCGCGTCCGCTTTGCGTTCGCGCTGACGCATTTCAGGCGCAATTTTGGGCCAGAAATGAGTCGGCGTGGATGCTAGGCGGACGTGATTTGGGTTTGGGTCATCGCGTTGGGCTTTCATTTTTGTCTGCGCCAACCCAAACGGACACAGGCGGACGAAATGGATCGCCTCATTGGAGTTGCTTTAAATATTGCACATGTAAGTCCTACATAGTTGATCTACGTCATTGATCTTATGTAAAAATTCATGTGGATAGTTGGTTTTTTGTTTTTTGTTTGTGTTTTATATTTGATTGAGTCAATTAGAAATGCGATAACTAAGGCGTATGTAGATATGCCCTAAACATAGACTATCCGAAAAATGCACAGGAGCTCCTTGGGGCTCCTCCCTCCTATATGAATATTAAATTTGGGTGTCCAATCTACTCGAGTGTGAAGTTTCGTGAAAATATATACTAAAACAAGGTATCAAGACCAAGAAAATACGTTCCGACCTACGATCCACCCAAACAAAAAATTTATACATAGGAACATTTTGTCTTTTTACGAAGAGCACCACAAATGTCATTTCTTTGCGGAACTTCGTACGGGAATAGATTGAACAACCAGATTTGATATTCCAAAATTCCAGATTTTATTTTATTTTCTCAGTTTTTAAATTTAATGTTCATACAGGGGGTGAAGCATCCAGGAGCCAAAAATCCACGGATTACCCCCTCTATATTGAGTGATGTACACAGCCACAACCATTGCTTCTCATGTACATTATCTTGAAGAAGAAAATGACATGCCATATGAACTACTCCCTCGTTTTCAAAATATGAGGAGTAAACATTTTTTTCAAAATCAATTTTCGTATGTTTGATTAAGTTTATAGTAAAATATATCAAAATCTACACAACTAAATAAATAAAATATGAAAATATATTTCATGGCAAATGTAATGATAATCATTTGGTATTTCAGATATTGATATTCTCCTGTGTAAACTTGTGTAAAGTTAGGGAAGTTTGACATTTTGAAAAATCAATACGCCTTATATATTAAAACATCAGGAGTATTTATTCAGAGTAAATATTACAAAAGCTTGTACAAGGCCGATTTATTGGCTGATCACTCTTAAAAATCTTTCCACCTAACCATAATTTTGGGACAGTTTACTTTACACTATTGAGTATGTTATTTGTGCATGTATATTGACTAAGCCCATCTTTTTAGTTCGTTGTATAGATTGAGATAGAGGCCCCACTTTATACATCATATACACGTGCCTATGCACGAGAGTGATACATCGTGCAATCATAATCTCATACATGGTATCAGTTTTTTAGGCTTCTCGCTTTCGCCGCCGCCGCGCACCACCTCTGCGCCGCCGCCGCCGCCACCTAGCCGCCGCCGCGCGACATACGCGCCGGCCGCCGCTTCTCCTCTCCCTGCGTGCGTGCTGCCCTAGCCGCCCGCACTTTCCCCACTGCCCCGCACACGCTGCATCCGATCCCCGTTAGAGCATCTCCACCCGTCCCCCCAGGAAGGCCCCCAAGCACTTTTTTTAGCGTCGGCAGCAAAAAATGCTCCCAGTCAGGCCCCCACGACCACGTTTTTCGCCGGATTTGGCTAAAGTTACGGCCGGCGCGTGCAAGTGAAACCTAGGAAAGCGGGAGGCAGCTGGGGGCGCCGGCGCGATACTTTCGCTGCCAAAGGCCCACTGCCAGCCTCTCTAAATCTCTCTCTCCTTCTTTTCCTGACTTGGCCCACCACGTGATGCATGCAAAAAAAAGCTCTCTCCCGCATGCCTGCCTCGCTCCTCCGCTCTCTCTCCTCTCTCCCCTGCTCCTCACTCCGGCGATCCTGGACGCCCTCCACCGGCGAGCCGGCCCCGTCTCCCTTCGTTGGCCTCGCCCACATCTCCTCGGAGGAGCCGCAAGCGGCCGGCCCCGTCTCCTGTCACCGGCCTCGCTCGCATCTTCCCGGAGGAGCCGCAAGCGGCCAGCCCCGTCGCCCGTCGTTGGCCCCCCGTCGCGCCTCCCCGGAGCAGCCGCGTCGTGCTGCTACGACTCGTCTCCGAGCGTAGCGAGCGGCTAGGCAGACTGCTGGGAGCTCGCAGAGCATGACGGGCAGCAGGAGTGGGCTCGGGCAGCTCGACATCGAGTCGTTCTTCGTTCATGGCGGACGGTAGAGCCGGCGGTTGCGGCCAACTAGCTAGAGGAGGAGACGGAGCTTAGGAGGGGAGGCAGGAGCAGCGGTGCTCACCAGAGGAGCTCAAGGGGGCTCAGCGAGAAGCTCAGTAGCAGTAGCCGGCCTTGTGGCCGCGGCTGTTGCTGCTCGTCTTCCTGTCTCCCCCCTGCTCGAGCGAGGCTGCTGCTCGTTGAGGGAGCATGCCGCGCGGAGTCGCGCAGGGCTGCGAGGGCGGGGAGGGGAGAGAGGACAGGACGCGGCTGCGCGTGCGCAGCGTCGAGGCGGGCGAAGATGTGGGAGTTGGCGCGGCGAGGTGGGACAGAGCGAGAGTGAGCGAACGACGGCTTCGGCCATGGCGTCCAGGGAGCGAGGGAGAGAGTAGGAGGAGAATGAGGTGTCGCGATGCATGTGAGCAGGCAGGAGGCGTGGCGCGCTCGGGGCCGGTTGGGGAGGACGACGACTGGGAAAGTTCTCGATCCCATGCCAAATATTTCGCCGGGCCAACCCCAAGAAGCAAAAAGAAAAATGCTGGCTGGGGAGCACAACGGCTGGAGATGCTCTTAGCCCTGCATCGCCAACACGCGCGCGTGATCGCCAGCCGCCGCTCCACCAATCGCTAGCCCCGCGCCGCTGCACCATCGCGAGCGCGCGCGATCGCTAGCCCCGCCGCTTCGTCCGGATTCGCATCTAGCTTACCGTGTGCCATTTCAGTTTGCATGAAAAAAACTCACGTGAAGATGCATGCAGCCAGCTTACCGTGTGTACTGGATTTGGAGACGTCCGGCCGCATGGAGCTGGTCACCCGCCAGCCTGCTCTCGCTGCCTCTGTCGTCCCGCCG